AGTGTCCCCCCCCCCCAGGAGAGAAATTGAAGGCTGCATTCTTTCCCAGGAACCTGATGGAATGCTAAATGTTCCCTGGGAGTCCACCAGATGGCTAGAGCCTCTCTGGGAACCTGCAGAGACAGCACCAGGTGGATGATTCCGAAGCAGTTGAGAACCAGGGGTAGAAGATATTTTTCTAAGCCTGGGACCCTTTCCTCTGTGAACTACTGCTTCCTCTCTGGAAGATGGGTGCCTGCCCTGAAGCCTGCTATGAGAGGTTGCCCTTAAGTACCAGTCTCTGCTTCATGGTCCTGCTGGGGAAAGAGTTCGGACAAGGCTATATTGCTGCCTAGGAGGAGGCTGAACTGCCCATCACTGGCCTAGCAAAGGACAGCATGGTGGTCAGAGCAGGAGGGAGGGGTGTGGAAGGTTCTTAGGAGAGAGGGAGGGAGGGGCTAGGATAAGGCCCTCATAGATGTTTAGCTCAGAGGCCTGGCCTCCCTTATTTTCAGTTCAGGACATTTTGAAGGTGAGAGTATGATTTTTTATAGATTTAGGGATTTTCCCCCTTCTTCTTAATGGAATAAGCATGTTCTCCATTTGTGCTCATAGCAGTCTAGCTGCTAATGAGAGGCAGGAATCCAGGCCTTGGGTTCTGATTACCACCACATGGAGCAGGAGGAGGGCTGGAGTCTGGCTCTGCAAGCCAGATGGGGCTATTGGGAAATAGTTACTGGGAGGGGTGTGGCGTGTTTAACTACTGAGACAAAAGGCTAGTTGGGAACCCAGACCAGCAAGACATCTGGCCTCAAGTCCCACAATACCCAGGCCTCTCTGCCTGGCTCTTATACACCCCTGGCCATGCCTGTACTTCTGCTTGCTCCACTGAAGTCTACCCAGGGAGCCCCAAAGTATCAGCAATACAGAAAGAACACACTGTGAGGATGGCTGATAGATGCTTTGAACGTCTCAAGGAAGGACACAGCAGGTGAAGTGGTTTCAGTTTCTTACCTTTCTCTGAAATGAGAACTGGAGGCATGCACTAGCAGCGGCCTTGTCACCTGACCAGGGCTTCAGGTTCACAGCCATGGAGGCCTCTTGGGGGGCCTGAAGCTGCAGTTTTTAAAGGGCACCTTTTTATACTTAAAGAACACATTGGGTTTCTAATAGATCCAGCAGCTCCCAATCAGCCCGAAATGTTTCCCAAAACCAAAGCTATTAAATCTTTTAAAACAGGAGCCCAGTTTCTCATTAGTACTGAACATGTGTGTGAGGGTGTATATGAGTGCACGTGTGTGTGTGTGTGTGTGTGTGTGTGTGTGTGTGAGAGAGAGAGAGAGAGAGAGAGAGAGAGAGAGAGAGAGAGAGAGAGAGAGAGAGAGAGAGAGAGAGAGACAGAGACAGAGACAGAGACAGAGAGACAGAGACAGAGAGAGGGAGGGAGAGAGAGAAAGAGAAAGAGAAAGAGAGAGGGAGGGAAGGAATTGTGATTGTGTTTTGGAGGAACAATAAAAAGATTGACACATGAAGTTTGGAGTTGGTGAGGGTTAGGCATCCTAATGGGGTGTGTGTCCCCTTGCACACAGGTATGCAAGACATGGTGACACCCTGGCTTTCTAGTCCATCATGGAGAGGAGTCATTCATGAAGGATCCCAGGGTGCTGCTGAGATCTGGGAGATTTTCCCACTGTCCTCATCCCTGTGATCTCTCCTGCCACCCACAGGTCCTGAGCTGTGTCAGTCCAGATAATGCTAACAGCCCAGAGGTCCCAGTGAAGATCCTCAACTGTGACACCATCACTCAGGTCAAGGAAAAGATCCTGGATGCCATCTTCAAGAATGTGCCATGCTCTCACCGGCCCAAGGCTGCAGACATGGACCTGGGTAAGAGGGCTGCTTCCCAGGGCTATCCCTATGGCTGGTCTTGGTGACTTCATGCTTTCTTGCATCAGCGTAGTGGAGCTGGGCTTCAGGGAACAGAGAAGGAGCAGTGGGGGGAGGCAGGCTGGGTTTGACTTTATAGTCTGCTTGGGATTGGTGGGAGAAGGTCCATGAGCCTCAAACAAAAGAGAGGGAAAAGGCCACCAGGTGCTCTGTTGGCAAACTTTCCTGAATGGGCATGCCTCTGTGGTCTTATGAGTGGCAGAGTGCTGGCATTGCAGGCGTCATATCTAAATGAAGGGATGTGAAGGCAAAGCCTGCTCTTCCCAGTCCCTGTGGCCAAGGTCTCGACACTGCCTTTGTGCCCTCCTGGCTGTCCCTCCCCTCTGTGCTGTGCCTATAATTTTTTGCTGAATACTCACAGCTCGGGGGGATCTGGGTCAGCCATGGAGGATGGAGAAAGAGAATAGAGGAAAATGAGATGTGACGGCCTGCTGTGGAAGAGGATGACACTGTGTTTGAATGCTCCATAAAGAGATGGCACAGCCTCTATAAACAAGGGCATTCCACCCAGGGCCATTTGTACTTTGCCTGAGTATTCTGAAGATTGTCACACTGAGATGTCCTCTGGAGGAGGCTCTGAAGAGTCCAGGATGGAAAAGGGCAATTCCAGCATTGTTGTAGTACTGGATGCGAAGCCTGATGTCTCTAGGTCCTTGCTGTATGACCTTGTCCAAAGAATTTAAACTGCCTGTGCCTTCTTCCTTTGCCTGTGAGGCAGAGATAATTACAGCAACTGCTTCATAGTAAGAGTTCAGCGGGAGTGATGCATTGAAAGTTTTTGTGTGGCCTGTCTGGACCATGGGAGGTGGGAAGATGCTGGGAAGGACACTGGCTTGTGACTGTTTGTGGATCCTGGGGAGTATGAGGATGGTGTTGAGTCCTGGCAACATGGGGGGGTGGGAAGACCCCCAGAAGCCCTGAGCACCCATCTGGGCTCTAAGCTGACTTCTGCTAAGCCGAATAAGACAGATGGGCATCTATGATTTTGCTCAAATCCAGGGTGATTTTTCAACCTCCTACCCTGACTGCCACCTCCCCCCAGATTCTGACGTCTAAAGATCCTGAGCATCAGGAAGTTCTGTTATCTCCTTGAATGTTTCATATCTCCTCTTAACCCTGTCTTGTCCCACTAGGCTTAAGACGAGAGATGTGTGCAGGACCCAATGCCCCTCTTCCTGAAAGTGTCTCTAAGTGTCTTGTTCTTAGGACATGGAGGAGTCTATGCACCAGGGGAGTTTCGGATGCACATCCATGCATGTATCCCAGGACACCAGTCCTTAGACTGGGGCGAACTTGTATGTCTATATGTATTTGCCCCATGTCTGCTGCTGTGAGGGGCCCCATAGACTAATGGAAAAAAGGCCCCTGCTGTAGAGCCAGTGGAAAATGAAATGGTTGCAGGATGGAAGGCTGTGATGCGAATCCCTCTCATTGCACAGTATTCTCTAATGTCTTGGGTGGGATAACCAGGGAGCACCACCATTCATTATGTTGCTTTATCTATGAGCCCAGAATGAGGCCACCCCTCATCTTCTCATTGTCAGCATCTGTGAAGTGGGTAGGGGTCTGGAGAGCATGGGTGCTGGAAGGCAAAGGGACGACTGAGCATGTGTCTTGTGCTTGAGATTAGGGTAGCTTCATTAGGAGCCAAGCAGTAGCTTGCTCTACTTGAAGTAGGGCTCAGTTGCTAATGAGAGATAGCTTCTCTGCTATGTTAAAAGCCATGCCTGACCTTGTAGGGAGAGGGAGGTGAGGCGAGTTGTCCATGGAGATGAAAGTGCTTTGGAAGCTTAAATCAAGGTATAAAAAAAGGATGTCATTGTCACCACAAACCAGTCTATGTCAAAGACCACCTGGCATACAGACTGGGTGAGGCCCTGTCGGCCCTGGGCAGATAGCAGAGCACCCTCCACTCCATCTCTTTGAGCTTATTGCTTCCATGGTGGAGGGTGTCTGGCACTAGCCGCCTCCTTTCCAGATGACCAGCCCCTGTCCCAGACTCAGCTGAAGCAAGAAGTCCCTCTAACACCTCTATTGTCATCCTAAAGAAATCCATCCCCAACTCACCCTTCCCTGGTATGAATTGTATTTTCACCTCTCCAGTGGTCCAGCCTGCTGCTGCTGTCCCCAGCACATCTACTCATGGCTTCTGGGATTGGAGCTTTCCCAGCATTCCTTTCATCTCTACATGAGCCTTGTCCCAACCCAGATGTTAAAGTTACTATGTGGGCAGTTGTGATTGGCAGAGATCTGAGGGAAACAGAGCCAATATCCCACTAGTATAGTGGCATGGCCCATACTCATACATGGTTCTGTTGCTCACTTCCAGTAGTGTGTCCTACCCTGTACAGGAGTTCTTCACCACAATAGAAAAAGCAGGCTTAGGTTGGGTAACTTGGCCCAACTTCAGGGTCTGTAAGTGCTCTGGTGTTTAAGCTGGGATAAGCCAGTATGCATTTTTATTTTTATTGACATGGCCCACTTAGGGCGTGCTTATCTGGGCATAATTCAGGGTGGGTTGAGGAGTCCTCTTTCTCTCTCTCTCTCTCTCTCTCTCTCTCTCTCTCTCTC